CATAGATTCGTCTGGAAGCGTGCAAAGGCAGACTACTTAATGAAATGAACAGGTTAGAGAGGTTTTGCGTCTGAAGCGCTTTTCTGGATGAACCTTCATCAGGAACGCTCAAAACTAAACATTTGAAAGCTAGGGATGCGTAAATACGTTGCAACGTTAGAACCTTTTCAGAATAGTCAAATTCATCTAAGGTAAACTTTGCATGAGGGAGTTTTAACCTTGATTTTCAATAATTTTTTAATTAATGAACGAGACATTTTAAATAAATATACTGGTTATAAATCACGTCAGTATCGAATCACTAACTACTAAGCAAATGATACCCTGGTAGACTACCAGTTCAACAGCAGGGGTATAGACCCAGCGCTAATAAACGAAACACTTTTCTGGATGTATTTAAGGTCCCTTTTTTAATTGGGGAGACACTTGTTTAAATTTCTATACCAAAAGATTGCATTGGGTTAGAGAGATAGAGAGGAGAAAAAGGGGACAAGAGAAAAAAAACCTCAAATATAGAATAGTTTCAAATATATTGAAGCAACAATTCGATAAGTTTTGAGTTTTAACATGTTTTTATTAACCTTTTCTTAGTTTCTGCTATTTCCCATTTACTAATCGATTGAGGTTTTTTTTAATACAGAGAGACAAACATTGTATGCATTGTTTTTATGTACAAGCTCATGCAGTAATCGTGGCATTTACACTTTAAAGAGGCATCTTAATATCGTTCCCACTCCGACCAGACTTTGCTGCGTATTTATACATCCAGTTTATTTTTCGCCAGCATTTATATTTGACTATTGCAAATACAAAAATAATGCAAATTTAAAACCCCAGTGAAAACGTCAAACGTGGATCTTCTCTCATACGAATGCTTAAAGAAATTAAAAAAAATTGTAAAAAAACTAAATTATCCCAAAGTAGGCTACAAAAGGATATAATTTAAAAAAAAGTATCCTAAAAAATAAGTCTGTTTACCGAACACAATGGATATGCCAAATACTAAGTTGAATACTGGTCACTTAGTAGTTATAGGTTGAAACAAGACATGATGTAATTTCTGTACCTAAATATCAATAAATTATGTAAAATTCTTTGTTACATGGGTATAGGTTTTTTTTTAGTAATTTTGATTCTTAAAATCAACGTCATCTGGATCAGCGATGGATGTGAAAACAAGCATTGTATCGCATGCTCCCATGCAGCTTTATACCAAATGTCAGCAATCTCTAATTTTTTAGTTCCTGAGAAAAAGGCGATGAAATTTTAATGGGACTGACAGCGAGCGGTTAATTAGTATTATACACCCCCTCGCCCAGGTATAAAAAATTTATAGATACAATTTTGGTCCCTTTGGTTTTTTATCTAAAGAAGGCAAAAGACTTGCTCTTCACAAAATGTTACCAACAACATTAATTAATTGCCGGACTTAACTGGTTTGTTAACCTGAATACCTACAGGCGACGATTCTCTGTAATTATTTCTAGTTTCAGAATTTTTATCTTTATCTTTATCTTTTACTTTAACTTCTTTTTGCAGGTTCCTAAGAAATGATAAAGATAAACAATTAAGTAACACAACATACAGTTATACTGGGTCCAACTAAATGACTAAAGAAAAGTAACATTAAATACAAACAAGCTCTATTCTTCGATTGATTGATTTATTAATTAAGGTTTTACACTACTTTCAACAATTTTTCAATTATATCGTCTGACAGCAAAAGTAACTTATGGTTTCGTTATCTGATACCATCCTTGGAAATATCATAGAAAACCCGTTAATTTCTTGTTGCAAAAATAATGGGAACCCTATGAACAATGAATTTACCAAAAATGGCCACATTCACTGTAATTAAAATGGTATTAATTTACAGAAAGTTGCAATTCATGTAACATTGCAATTCAGCATTGGCGTGTTAACTATCTGGAAGGAAATACACTTCTGGACGAAACACCAACCTGCAACTATATCAATCCATTGGTTTTTCCGAAGTAATTTGAAATACATCGCTAATAAAAGAGAGGCGAAAGATACTGAAAGGACATTCAAACTCAGTCGAAAATAAACTCCATGACAAAAAAATAAATAAATGATAAAGACCAAAAGAACAACAGTATACAAAACAGAAAATAAAAACCTAAGACTAAGCAACAAAAACCTCATTAAAAACTGAGTTCTCAGGTGCTCCAAAACGGTAAACATATCCTGCTCAACATGTGGCATCCGTCGTATTGCTCATGTAAAAACAAATCGGTAATAAGTCTAATTCGGTAGGTCACATTTGGAGAAAAGAAGGACGGAATTGTGGTGACGACGATTGACACATATAAGCATCTCCATCTGTGAAACAGATATTTCAAACGGTTCACTTACTCGCGATTTACAATTAACTAATAATTTAGTTATTTTTTGTTCAATGAAAAGAAAAAAAAGGAAAATTTCGAACTGCAAGGGAAATATACAACGGAAATGGCAAAATCAAAAGCTGAAACACATTGAAAATGATGGTTGGAATACCTTTGGTGTATTCAATTATTCAACACAGCTTTTTTCATGAAATGTGTAAAGCGTCATACTAGTTTCGATAGGATATTAAAATGTTAAATACGATGATTGCATTGATTGTTTGATTGATTTTTAGGTATTTCAACACCACTTTCAGCATTATTGGCTATTTCTCGGAGGCTAGTTTTTATTGTTTGAGGAAGCGGGAGTGCCAGGCACGCTCCAACGACCTTCTTTTTTAGAAAATTGAGATTGGAGTCGAAGGCACCAGCTACGTACGGGGCTAAAACTCACAACCTTATTGTTGACAGACTATTGATATAGTAGTGGAGCTACTTAAACCACTCGACCACCGAAGCTCCAGCAAACATAGTAGGAACTTTGAACTATTTTAAATAGTTGACTCACTTCATCGATAAAGGTACAATGTAGGCGCTGTTGCTAATTGATCTGCTCCTACTTTTTTTAAAATCTATAAATCATATATATCTCCAGGAAATCAAATCAGTGTATGCGGTTCAAGAAGTCACGACTTTATAATAAGCCATATCATTAGATTTGCAGTTTTGTTCTAGACCGTTATTTCAATGTTTATAGAAATCATGGAACCACCTTTCCATGAGAAATTGTTCGGAAATATAAAGTTTTTCACGTAACAATATATTGATGATGTCATGTCGGTCAATGACCTAAATTTCCTTGTGCGTTTGCATCTCATTTATCCAAGTGAAATTGACACTTAAGATACCACTAATTAAAGAAGGACTGTATCAAAACTTAGTATTATTCATAATGTTACTTATAATCAAAACAATCACTTTGGTCTTTAATTGTTTCAATTGGTTGGTCGATAAGATGTGTCTGTGTCTCAAAGTTATAACCGTCGTAGATATAATAAAAAACCATGATAGAAGTTTCGTATTTAAAATAAAAAAATAGATTTCAAATGTTTGGGCATTGGCGTTTTCGATGACTGTAAACAGAGAATAGCATTTCCCTAAATTAAAACATTTTATGATCATAATCTGCTTTTCTCTATCACGATATTTTGAATGGGTATATTTTCTCATGACAGATGAAGCATACATAGCAGGACTAAAAAGAGTAAATGCTATATAGGAGTATTTAGTTATGATAAAAGGCCTTCTTCTGACCCTTTGAAGGGACATTAGCTGTCAAACTCATGTTCACTGATTTGACTCAAATTCTCATATTTGATTAATAACCTACTAAAACGTATACCCAACTTACAAAAAGTCTAAAATGAAAATTAAACAATGCATGGACTCGATAATATGTATCCGTAGTTCGTGTGTATTGTAGTCTAGATGCCATCTAATTACCCATCAAGGTGTCCTCCGAATACAACCGAGGGTGACTGAACCAGATATAATCATAAATATAGATATAACAGGTAGTGAACACGTGCAATTGGATTTTCTAGGTCTGTTTGATACAATATTATAAGTTAAGCAAATATGTTAATCATCGATTTAACAAATGTGTTAATCGTCATTTGTACATTTGTACCTGTATAAGAACGAGTTTTTGTGGATCAAATCAATCAACCAAATGGTTTACCCTTGTTTAACTTTCAATGTTGACATTCTTTTCCTTTAAATAGCTTAACGCGCCTAGTTCATGCGTAACCCCTTCTCTAACTAAGGGATTAAAAAGAACGTCACATGAATAAGGATTCAGTAAGGTCGGATTATTCATTTGCAAGTGAATAAATCCTTAGTGATGTTTTCTGGCCTACATTGACAAAATTCAAAATGGCTGCTAAAAGCGAATTACTATTACACTATTTCACTTTGATGTTTAAAAAAAATCATATTTTAATTTTTTTATATCTTCTAGCAGAGGCCCCTTTACATGTTTACTAAAGTAGATATTCCCAGCAAAGATCATTTAATTTGGCAACCTCTTTCTGACAGGTCATAGACACCCATACTTGTACGGATCCGACTATCGGGTATAAGAAGTCCATGTGATCAAATGTATCTTGTGTTTGTATTCCATGAAATATAACATTAACGTTAAGTCACAATGGGAACAAGAAATGATTGTAAAAAGTAAAATAACAAAAATACCGAACTCCGAGGAAACTTTTAAACGGAAAGTCCCTAAGTAAATGGCAAAATCAAAAGCTCAAACACATTAAACGAATGGATAACAACTTTATATTCCTGACTTGGTACAGACATTGTCCAAAAAGACACCAATACCATCATGGGTCAAACTTGCAGGTAGGAATAGTCCATCTTGCCAAATGCCTAGATAACATCTGTGTTTGTATTCTATGAAATAGAACTTTTACTTTAAATCATAATGAAGACATAGAACTTCTTTTTTCCAAGGGATAAACAACATTTAAGGTCAATATAACTTTAACCTATTTACATTAGATGTAAACCATTTTAAAAATTGCCTATTGATATGAACTCGTCCGTTCCGGAAGAATGGCGATTTTATAGAGGTAGAAATAACCTTGTTTGATCTCACGAAATAACCGTTTTTACAATAGCAGTTAAAAACATACACTTTTAACGTTGTCAGTTCATTTTAAATCCACAGAAAAATAAAATGGAAAAACGGTGTCCTGCAATTTTTGGAATAATTACATTAGTTTTATTGTGTGCTGGAGCCTTCTCTCCCGGGTGGTTTGCCATTGACACTGCAAAATTAAGTGGAGATGAGGGCAGTTATACTTCAGACGGTATTGAAATACATATGGGATTATTTTATTTTGTTGCTGTAGGGAAAGATTTTAGAAAAGTTTCGGGATATGGAGATTTTAGTGGATCCAGCATGTTAAGTATGCACTTGTATGTTTAATTTTTAATATTGTTTAGATAAAAGCATTCATGACCATATTTATTTTAATGAAAAAAGATGTACGGTGAATACCAATGAGACATGAACTAAACAGAATAATTCTGACAAACTGTACTGTACATATAATTAACGTAATATAAAATTCAAATATATCATTTAAAAGATGATAATAACGGATCTCTAGTAAACCCCATCCACACCCTCTTCAAAACTGTGACAGTTAAGAATTCCAGTCTGTCTTTCTGTTTTTAATGTATATATTTGATAGGATACAAATGACATATACTCCAACATATCGAAAGTAAATGTTGGTTTGATTTCCTGCCTGTTGAATTTGACAAATGGTATCCAACACTAAATCATTTTTTCTGGCATACAAAATAAAATTGAGGAAAAAAGATATTTGCAAGCATTGCTTTCTCAAATATTGCTCAACTGCAACTAATATCATCTGTATTTCATAAAGATATGATTATTTACTGAACGCCTAATCATGTTCTGGCGTAAAAAAAAGTTCAAAAGCTGAAATTTTAAACCACAGCAAAATCACAGATTTCATTTATTGGTGAATTAATCAATCATTTCGGTACATTTGTCAAATATACCCTAACCTATAGAATAAAACAAAAGATTTAGCAAGTATATTCCAATAGAAATAAACGTTTTAATGTTTGCAAGTATTAAAATAAATAGGAATCGACTTATATAATAAGCAACAAAGTCAAGATGGCGACCCTAAGATGCTTTTCCAACAAACGATAAACACCACTGTCGATTTCACGTCAAATAGTACGTAAACAGAGAAATTCCTACACTTGCAGAGTTGCGTTAAATACCCCACAGTTTACTGCATAAAAAAGTTCTACGTAAAAACTCTTGAGGCTTATAAATAAAGACATCATTATGTTTTAGTTCTTTGCTTGTATAAACAATTTATGACCTGTTTTTAAAGTGCATCGACTCCTTTTTCCTCATAACTCAAGAGGAGATAACAAATAAATCGATTTACTTTCTAGTAAGTTTTTTTTGTTAGTGAGTTGACCTTTTTCAACAACGAGGGTCCAAGAAGAAGTTGGAATTCATTCAACAGAACGTTCAACTTCAAGCGCTCGTGGTACTATATCTCAAAGATGCTCATTTGGATGGGTTGTGTGGCTTTTGTGTAGTTGTCAACATTTTATTTGATTTCAGATCGAGGTATTTTGATGATTTTTTTAAATGTATGTGTTATAATGAGAAACAGAATCGTGTTACTGTGTCTGTTACAAAACATGCAGCAGCCACAGGCATTCGCGTTTTATATTAATTTACAATCATCCTTGTATTATCATAAACATAAATTCTGTTAATTTGTAGAAATTGGTTTTCTTGAATACCAGTTAGAAGTTATCCTGGGAATAGTCTTATGTTTTATATCAGTCATACTGACTTTCAAATACAAGAAAGAAGGAACGAATGGAGTTTTGGTTGCTATTATAATAATGTACATTATAGCAGGTCAGTAGTAAAGTGTTTTGTCACAAAAAAGGGGGTGTGTCGTATGAGTTTAAAGAATTTAAAAATAGACAGCAACATTGGGTTGTTTTCTGAAAATAATATTCAACGATTCAATATTTAGGTGTCTCCTTTCTTTTCAATATTCATGATTTTATACCACGCGACTTCATATCCTGTATTACTGTATTTGATCAATCCAATTCTGTAACTACAATGGATTTGTTAATGTTACCATCATTGTCTCATTTTTAACATCAACTTTGATTTTCCCGTCGAATTGACACACCCAACGGTATAAAGAGGTACGATGTAGAGCCAATTTTACCTGAATTTATTTCAGGTAAGGGCCATTTTCAAAAAGTCTTTCAATTCTTACCCAAATTTATAGTATCACATCCCAATGTGCGTCCTTTTAAGTCCTAACAATATTGACCAAATTATAAACGCCTAAATATAGCCCAAAACATAACTTGACAGATTTTGGTCAAATTTCGAAACTTATAAAAAAAAGTATATAGGCATTGTTCAGCAAAAACAAATTTTCCTGGAAGAAAAGCTCATTGTCTGTCGGATACAAATCAATTCATTTGGTAAGCAGCGCTGTACGATGCAAAAATTTGACAAAACATGCAAAATTTGCAATTTGTACCGACAGCAACTGTAAATGATATTTTAAGTAGACAATATAAATTCTTTTATTTTCAAGTTCCGGTTGGATTTTACAATTTTCAAACTTTGACATTGTGAATGAATCAAACACCGGTGAATAGTTAATAGTGGTTTTTTTTTCTTTTAAACAGTTAGCAGAAAGTGCTACCTGTGTAGAGGAGTGTGAACTGTTTAAACACAATTCTTTATTATGTTTATACTCGTTACATTCAAAAAATCTTAATAAAGAGGACAATACTACCTATCCTTGATCTGGTTTTTTACTACTTCCTCTTTAGTGCAATTTTCCACATCCCTATTGACGGTTTCTCCGTTTTTTTTTTTGTTTTTTTTTAATTAAAAATGATATTGGAGATTAAGATTTATGCTCATTTTCTTCATTTTAAAAAGGCCGGATGCCATTTATATAGGACGAATTTTGTTAAACTATTAAACTATCCATTCTATTTTACAGCAGAGAAATCTAAATTAATATAAAACATAACATAGGTAATTCTTACTCTGTTTAATTCCGTTTTCTTTTAGTATTTCGGAATGTGAAATTTTTTTTACATCCGATCTGTGCAGAATTTTTGGGGTCTGTACGAACTTTGATTTTATAGACATTTATAATATTTATTTACTTAATAAAAGTTAGTTTTTACGCCTATTCATCACATGATTTTATAAAGTGGAAACGAAATCAGCTGATAAAGGTTAATCAAGCGAAAAACAATGATGAGTACAAATCAATGGAAGTGTCGAGCGCTGTCGAATTAAGGTTTTAATTGCTTTATTATAGATCAAGGCATACTTTGATAAAAGGAAAACGTCATAAAATCCTAAAAAAATACTGACAAATACATGATAAACAAAAATGCGTTTATGAGCAAGTAATGATAAAAAGCTCATGAATTCTTTTTGATGTAAAGTTTAGCTTATAAAACCCGAATTCGATAGTTATAGACTTTTAAGGCAATTGATACAATAAATGCATCACCCATTTAAAGAGATCGGGTAAAACGATTATTGTGCATGGTGGAATTCTTTTATCAACTTCGGGAAGTTTGACCGCAAATCTTTTTTTCTTTCTATTTAGATTAAGCCTATATATCAAAAATATATTTTATTTGACTCAAGCAGGTGATACCAATTTGCAATTGGCCGTAAATGGCTCGAAGTTCTGGCTGTGAAGTTAAATGTTAATGATTCTAAAGCGATCTGTTATCATTCCTCAAATGTAAAGATAAGGACAAACTTTTCTGTACCTACCCGAATTTTAGCATCAATAAAACAGAGATGATGGAACTGCGCCAATGCGAAACCCACTCCCCCCAAAATAATTATCCTGAATCAGATATAGTTGATCTAGTAGCCTTAGTTGCTTCTTTCGGCAGCATAGCTCTTAAACGGTAAAACGCCCAAGACCAAAATCGAACCTGACTAGTATTACATGGTTGTTGGCATAATGTTAAAATTGCGATTCTCTCTAGTGGAAATTTTACAATCTATCAGAAACAAAATCAAAATTTTAAGAAAATTTAGGACACATCTCTTTTAATGTAATAGCCAAAACCGTCAAAATCGAACTTTGTATTTTAAAGTACATGTCATAAATTTTCAGGTGACCAAAATATCATTTAAAAGTATACATGCAGTAAAAAATTGTTAACTATAAACAAGTGCATCTTCAAATTTTCATTTTTTTTTTCAGGAATATCTACATTTATAGCAGTCGGACGTTGGCTTAACGGCGTGATATTTATTTCACCTTACTCAGACATACCAATGATCGTCCCCTACTCTTTAATTTTGAGTGGTCTTGGAGCCATCTTTTGTGGGATCATAATGATATGTGTAAGTTGCATGTACTGCCCGCACAACGCTGATAGACCAGCCCACGGGGGTCAGGTGTATTCTGGTGTTGCAATGACCGATTATACACAAACACAGCCGTATACGCAAGGGCCGCCGCTATATGGACAATCACAGGATAAAAAAAGCTACGTATAGACTTATGGTAATGGCGGTGGCATACTTCATAAAGCGTAATAATAAAAATGATTTGTGCGTCAACCAATCATTGAAATTTGTATATTGAAATGTAAAATGATGATAGATAACTTTACAATTATCGCAAAAACTGTATTATATGCATCATATTGTAAACTTTAAAAGAATAAAATTGACAAAAGTCTCTGGTATAACTTCGTTGATTTGCATCAATACCATGCACATTTGACATGTCGGATGTGGTTACAGTCGGTGGGTATACATGTGTGGTTGTCACTTTCTTAGTCATGCAGTTATAGCGCTTCTCTATAACTTATAACTGAACCGAAGTTAGCAATAGTGTATGGTTGTTCAATGATTGATTGGTTATAGCTTGCGTAATGTCCAGTGGCACTTATTTCATGTATATTCAGGATGAAATGAATTTAATTTTCATTTAAATAACATTGAACAATTATTAAATCATTCTTTCATGCCATGCTCTATGCTCATTTTAACATGGGTAGGCATTATATTTGTCAATATCTTAATACCGAGCGTTAGAATTATTTCGGTTCTAATAGGAAGATTTTGAACGTTTGTACTTCGAAGCGGATCCATAATACACGCTCGAAAGGCAACCATATTGATTTGATCAACCAAAAATGTTATAGAAAATCATCAGTTTAACGATAAAAAATGAACAGATACATGTAAACTTACTTTAGAATGATTTTATTTACTTTCATAGCGAGCAATACCAACACAAATGTTCATTTTGATCTCCTACGTTGTTTAAAATTCAACTGACGCTGCACTTTCAATTGTGACGTCAATCACATGCAGCCCATGTTTTATTGAAATTAAAAATTCTCTTCACGGTCATTTGCCATAATTCGTACTCAAATAGGTCGAATTATTGCTCATAAGACAAACGTATACAAAAAACGAGAAAAATAAAGGAAAACACGTTTTTCTTTTTATCAAACACTTGAAAATCGTGAATCTTGTATATTGAACACCTGGTGTATGCTGAACTGAATTTTGATAAACTAACTTGCATTTCTCAGGCCTGTATGTCAGCATACGAACTTGGTGTATGCTATAGTCTACATTTAATTTATACATTGTATTTCTCAGTTCTGTATGCCTGCATACGAACCTGGTGTATGCAGAGCGGCCAATATTGAATCAAATGTTGTATTTCGCAGGTCTGTATGCCAGCATACGAACCTTGGTGTTTCCAGAATCTTCAATGTAACGCAAACGAATCAGTAGTGCATACAAACATGGTGTTGCTAAAATCCTTTACTTCAGTTGTTGTGTTTTAACACCGATTTCGATTTTTTCTTTTTTTATACTACAAAACTACGACTGACCTCTATATTTTCTCCCGGGTAAACAAAAAAGCGTTAATTTGCAAGGCAAACCGGTAAAGCGTTTACTGTTGTAAATCTACTGTTAAATGAAAACCGATTCTCAAGTTCCACGACTATGATCACTTTATTGACATGCAAGTTATCTGTTTTGTTTTTTGCAAATCAAAATTACGGAAAAATGAGGCGATCATAATTTGTACGTTTCTAAGGACTTGCTTTCCAACTGTTCCAAATTGTTGACAAAATTTCAAATGACGTCAGGGACCTTGTGACGTAAGGCGGAGGGAATTACAGACGGATATCAATTAGTCCAGTCAATCTACCAAAAAAATATCCAAACCTTAAACAAATTGCAACAGAAGTAAATTTGGTCTCATTTTGAAGGTTTATCAGTCCCCTACAACATATCACAGTCTTGCAAAATCTAAAATGCCAAATTCAACATTTTTTGGGCAGAAATACAAGTTTTTGTACGAAAATGAAGAAAAAATGGAAATAAGCCTGACAATTTTCTTTTGTTATAATATCATGGATGCAGTTTGTGTTATATTTTGTTTTAGCTGCCTTAAACATATTGTAAGCTTTTATGCAACTTACCCTGGCAGTAGCTTGTCAGTAATACGTAGAAATCGGATACACTGTTGTGGTGTAGACGACTGTTCTTGTTCAGGTTTAGCTTTCGATTGACAGATCCGGAACGAGGCTCCCTGTCTTCCGGATCTGTCTCCTCCTCCAGTGGAGCACCACCGACCCTACCCCGAGGTACTACACTCCCTCTGACTTTATAAAAAAGGAGTGAATCAAAAGAGGGGAAAAAAGGGGGGGGGAAGGGGGGTCAATTCCGGTGGCGATCACACATTGTGGATAAAAAAGGGGTTGGGGATGGGGTACAATAAACATGGGGACCCTTAAATTACTACAAACGGAAACCCCCCGAGAACACTAGGACCATGGAACCCCCTAGTAATTTTCCCCTGGAGCAAACTATATACAAACTCAATTTTAAATTCATTAACTGTAGAAACTCAATTTTAAATTCATTAACTGGTAGCCAACGGGCTCTCCTTGTTCCAACTATTTACACAGAGGGACAGAGGCCAGCCTATGTGGTCACTCCGTACAGTCGGCCACCATTGAGGCGTGCCAACCGCAGTATTTCCCGTGGAGATTCTGCCCTCACCTCCCCCACTGCCTTAGCCACCTCAAACAAGTAATGAGGGTGGCCATGTCGTGCATGAGGCGGGGGAAAGTAAGGTGCGTCACTCTCCAACAGGATTCGATGCGGTGGCACCATCCTCACGGCGTCCTTCTGCTCGGTGTGGAAGGAATGGACGCCCATTCCAAAACCAAAATAGGCATTGCAGAAGGAGCTCTGCCACTCCCTCACCTGGTCTATCCCCCCCTGGAAGCAATGAAGGTGGATGAGTTGCACCGGATTGATTGCCAGGCCCGTCATCACCTTCAAGACCTCACGATGAGCCCGGGCGTGAACCCGGTCCAGTCGGTCGCCTCTTATGTGCAAAACCACAGGCTGGTTAAAGCGACACGACTGGAGCGCCCACCTCAAGGTCGAGATCTGGCGGGCCTGTAATCTTTCCTCAACCGTGAAATCCACCCCCACCTCTCCAAGGGCGGACACACTGGGGTGAGTCACCAGCTGGTGAAACCGGTGCTGAGTGGCATCTTCAAACTGCCCGGCACTCTTGGGGTGGATCCCCACTGCCCCCACCCATCCCGGTTCCAGCCTAAGCGGCACACGGGGCCAGGTCTTTGGATCGCAGAAGACTGCCACCCCTCCTGCTAGCTTGATAGGATCCACAGGAGCAGGGGTCAACCTTAGCAGTAAGAAATCCCCCAAGGGTGTCCGGGGAGGCATTCCCAACTTGCTTAGGGATCTATCCAGGTGCATGTGGCTATCGAAGGCCTCTGGCAGATCCCTGCACAATCGGGACTCCACTCCCCTACTCCCTGATGAATTTCCCGTCGGCGGCGACCCCCGTGCCCCCACAGACAGAGGTGAACTTCTAGACCCTAGACCTGCTAGTGCCCGGGTAGGACTGGTATACGGAAGGGACATGAGGGAGGGAACGGACCTGGGAGGAAAACCCTTGGAGCTAAACACCCCTACCTGCCCCATGGGCCTGGGAGACTCTGGTGTGCAAACTGGAGACCCCAACCTACAGAAAACTCCTGCTTTGGCTGGAGGACTCCCCTGCTCACTGGAGGAACTCGCCTGGGATGGTTCACTAGAGCTGAGGTGAACCTCCCCCAGAAAGGCCCGGCGCTGACCATCTTGTAATAGAGCCATCAACTCGACCTGCGCCCTCCAGTGAATGAGCACTGCAGGTGAGTTTATAGGCGACAGACAGAAGGTCCGAGGGACCTCCCACTGTGCCAATCGGCACACCGCTGCCATGGCTACCCACTCAGCACTCAGGTCCTCTGGGGTCAGCCCCACAGTCTCTAGCTGTCCAATCACCCACTGGATGGGGTTCCCCACAGCTGAACCCCCCAAGGCCCGGAAAAGTGTGCTCAGGGAGGTGAGGCGCACCCTAGCTAACCCTGGGTCAGACACCCCCAGGTCCCGGAACACTTCGGCCACATGTTCCGCCAGAATGTGCCCTTCCAGGCCTGGCCCCCGGGTTTCACAGCCGGAAACTGGACACGACAGTTCAGCTCCGACCGCTCCACCCTGCCCCACAAAGCGAGATGTTTCCACCTCACTGAGGGCTGGGAAACCAGGCTGGTCCCGACACACATCACCCTGACCTGGAGCCTCCACCCTGTCCCCCTGGGGTGAGGCTGCCTGCATTGGAGGTGAAGAGTTTGCCTCGGACTTACTTCTCCTCTTGGCAGCCCGCCGACGGCGGTCCTTGTCTCTTCGGTTCTTTTTACTCTTCTTCTTCTTCCCCACCTCCATCTCCGCCTCTCCCCTAGTGGCGCCCTCAGACCCCCCTTCCGACTCCCCATCTTCCCCTTGGGTCTCCTTCCCCCCACCTACCTTGACTGGGAGCCCCAAATCCCCCTGTACCTCGGGGTCCAACCCCCGCAGCTCCTCCTCTGGGACTGTCACAATGAACACCTCCTCTGTTATGGAGGGCTGCAGCGGGGTGGATGGCGGGCTGCCATCCCCCGAGGCCTGTCTTTCTGCTTGCTCCTTCTGGTTCATCTGAAATAAGTAAGCCTTCGAGTGCAGGGTGACCATGGACACGTGCACTCCCGTGGAGGCCGAACATCCAGGACACTGGTAGGCGTCCATTTGCTCAGCCTCCTCAGGAGTGATATTCACACATCGTCCATGAAACCATTCCCTGCACTCGTCGCACATGATCATCAGACCCCCATCATCTGGGCCCCTACACGAACAATAAATGTTTCTGCCCCTATTTCCCTTGTGCCCCAGCTCCTCTATCTCCTCCCAATTTTTCCCTGATATCACCTGGGCCTGTAATTTTCTACACCAATTAGGGACTTCCCTATCTGTACACAACTTAATCCGGTCATGGTGTGCCACTACCATAGCCTTCCTCATTTTGACCCTGTACAGGTAGGGCGTGAGACTTTCCAACACTACCCCCGGGCCCTTCCATGAAGGCGTTAATTTCTTACATTTTCCCTTAATGGTTGCTGTATCTAATTGGTACACTAAGTCCCCCACCTGAAACCTCTTGACCACCACCTTGAGGTCATAGTCCCTTTTGAGACGTTCTTGTGCCACTTTGAGATTGGCACGGGCCAATTTATGGGCCCCTTGGATCGCCCCCTCTAGGTCGGATACATATTGCTCCCTATCTTTGATGTTTCCCCCTTGGGGCCCCTTAAACATCAACTCCGCCGGCTGATTGACCTCCCTCCCAAGCATGAGATGATTTGGAGTAAACCCTGTGCTCTTACTGACGGACGCTCGGAACGCCCCGGCTAATTGCGGGAGGAATAGATCCCAGGACTTCTGATTTTTTCCCACGAAGCACCGCACTGAGGCCATCAAGGTCCGATTGCAGCGCTCTACTTGCCCATTGGATGAGAGGCGGTATGGGGTTGTTCTACTTTTGTGTATTTGAAGTAGGTCACACATGGCTTTAAACAGATGGGACTCAAAATTCCTTCCTTGGTCAGTGAATACTTGAAAGGGACTCCCGAAACGAGAGAAGAATTCGTTCACTGCTGTCCGGACAGTTAGCTCGGCGCCCTGGGATGGGAGTGGGATACATTCCACCCATTTGGTGAACTGGTCCATCATCATGAGGATGTGTTCATTACCTCGTTCTGTTTTTGGAAGGGGTCCCACAAAGTCTAGGTGAACTCTTTCCATGGGCGCCCCCGCATGATGTTTTACCATGGGATGTCTGTTGGTACGGGTAGCCTTTTTATTCTGGCTACACAGGGCACAACTTGCTACATACCTTTCAATCTCTTTCTTCATCCCCCTCCAATAGTAAGACGATTTGACTCTTTGGTATGTTCGGTCCCCCCCTTGATGGCCCGCTGCGGGAATATCGTGACACAACTCCATTAGCCTTTGCCGCATCAATTGAGGGATAACCACCCTTTTTGAATCCCCTGTCGGACTCTCTTTGTAAAGGACATTATCTTCCCCCAAGACAAATAATTCCCTATTTAACCAATAATACTTGGTCGCGGGGCTGCTCAAGAAAATTTCCCCTTCCGAGGGCTCCTCCTTTGTCTTTCTCCATTGGACCACCCATTTAAATTCCGGGTCTTCGCCCTGATTCCCCAACAATTCCCCCTGACTGACTCCCAAGTTAACCCCTGGGTCTTCCCCTAATTCCTGCACCCATATATCACCCTCGCCTTCGGTCCATATGGCCAACTCGTCCCCCAGTCTAGACACAGACACCCGAGATATCTGCACAACTTGCTCCTGGGTGCCTGTAAGTTTTTTAACACTGGCAGATTTTTTAGCCAAAGGTATCGTATCATCGACATTCACTGTGAACTGCCCCCAATTTTGTTGGGCCCTGGTACAGTACGTACACCCCCCACAGGGCAGGTCTTTTAACCCCAGCTCCACTCGGAACTCGGGGCACGGGCCTTCCTGGGGCAACCTGGACAAAGCGTCAGCATTGGGATGTTTAGCCCCTGGCCGGTGTTTGATTTCCATATCGAATTGACTGATTTCTTCCAGCCATCTGGCTAATTGCCCCTGGGGTTCCTTGAAATTGGTTAACCAGGTGAGACTGCTATGGTCAGTCCTAACCACAAACCGCCGTCCCAGCAAGTAATGCCTGAACAGCCTAGTGAACCTGACAATAGCCAGCAGCTCCTTTCGGGTGGTACAATATTTTTGTTGTTCTGGGGTGAGGGTGAAGCTAGCATATGAAATGGCTCTTTCCTGCCCCCCTTGGACTTGCAATAATTCTGCCCCAATGGCCTTATCAGAAGCATCCGTGTCCAAGATAAAAGGGTCTGTGGCATTGGGCAATGATAGGACAGGGGCTGAAACCATGGCCTCCCTGAGTTTGTCAAAAGACTCTTGTTGCTCGTCACCCCATGAATAAGGGCGCTTTCCGGTCAGGGCTTGAAGCGGTAAGGCTAGGTTCGTATAGCCCTTTATGAACGCCCGGTGATAATTCGCAAACCCCAAGAACCGTTCTACCTCTTTTGAGTTCCGGGGTTTTGGCCAGTTCTGAACATCTTTTACGTATCCTGGGCCTATTTCCATCCCCTCTGGGCCCACAATCCTCCCCAGAAATTCCACTTTCTTCCTAAACAGGTCGCACTTTCGGGGTTTTAGTTTGAGCCCGTACATTCGGAACCGTTCAAATACCACTCTTAAATTGGCCAGATGATCCCCAAAATCCCTCCCCAGGACCAGTATATCGTCCAAAAAAGCCAACACCACCCTCCATGTCAACCCTCTTAGTAAAAGGCTTATAACCCGTGCATAAGTGGCTGGGGCATTGCATAGCCCAAAGGCCATGCGTGCAAACTCGAACAACCCGTACTTGGTGATAAAGGCGGTTTTGGGCCGGTCCTCATCCCTGATCTTCACCTGCCAGTACGCCGAATTGGCGTCCAGCTTTGAGTACCACACATTACCGGCAAGGGTGTCTAGGCACTCTTCTACTAAGGGCAAGGGGAAAATTTGGCGGGAACAGGCCCCGTTGACCTTTCTATAGTCCACACACCACCTCACGCTGCCATCCCTCTTACGTATGAGAACTGGGGCCGAGGCCCATTCCGACACGGATGGTTGGATTACCCCCGACTGTAACATTTTTTCCAACTGAGCCTCTTCTTCCTGGGCGAACCCTAAGGGCGTACGCCGCATTCGCTGTTTAATAGGCGGGTGATCCCCCGTGTCAATACTATGCTCCAGGGCAGTGAAATGTCCTAGGTCGAGATCGCTACAGGCAAAGACATCCTGAAATTCCTTTAACAGGGAACACAGGGTCTCCTCCTCCCCCTCTGATAAATCGGCACAAGACCTCTTAAACATCTCTTGCAAGTGTTGAGGCAACTCCTTTTTCTCAGAATTTTCAGCCACCTCCATCTTGCATACCTTCGGACTCTGGTGCCCCCCACCTCAACTTCCTGGGCCTGGGCCAGTAAGTCCCCTTTTGTTATTGCGAGGGGGCTATCTGAGAGGTTGATCACACACAACACTGGGTCCTGACCCACCTCATGTAAAGTCCTAGGTATCAGCAGATTGCCCTCGGCCTTTGCCTCTATGATATATTCCCGACCCATGGGTTCAGCCAACACCCCTATCACTCTTTTAACCGAATTTGCTGGGACTATGTGATTCTTCCCCGCCCGCACCCCCGTTGTTTGGGGCAGCAACCTAGCCTGACCCCATGACATCTGTACGACCTCCCCATGGATGGATAGTTGATTCCTATGTAGGTCAAGTGA